TATTTTTATTTTTATAAATTTATTTATTTATTTATTTATTTTAATATATATATATATATATTAATTTTTATTGTATTATATAAATAAATAGACTAATTTTATAAGCTTAACAAAAAATTTTATAAGCTTAACAAAAAATTTTATAAGCCTAAGCCTAACAATTTTATATAAATAAGTTTTTTAAAAAAATTAAACTTAATTTTTTTATTAAATAATCTAGATCAACCTTAAGCTTCTGTTTAAGATCAGACATATTCTCATCTCTACTAGAAAGTGAGATGATTATTTAATTGTTTAAAAGAAAAAGAAAAAAAGAAATAAAAATATTAATGAAATTGACACAAATGTCCTTTAAGTAAAAAGAGACATAAAAAAGAGAATAAAAATTGCAAACAAATATTATGACAAAATATAAGATAAATTTAAAAATGTCAATTTTATCTATTAAATAAAATATGTGAAAAATATTTTAATTATTTATAGTGAATTTTATACTAATAAAAAGATAAAAACAAGGGAAAAAAATTAACTAAAAACATTAAAAACTCAAAATAAAATTTAAGCATAAATTTAAAATTGTTAAAAAAATTAAAACTATTGATTTATTCTTTAAAATAAAAATATTTTTTTATAAAATAATAATTTATTTTTTATTTATTATAGTCACAAGGAAAAAATGACATTTTCTCATCTTTACTCTTTTTATAATTAATTTCTTATCAATTTGGAAAGAAAGAAATTTGGAGTTGAACCCACCTTTTATTTTTTTTCTTCTCTTATTTTCTCATTTATCAAATGATATAAATTTTTCTTAAATAGTTTTTTAGTACTTTAAATTCAGGGTAAATTTATTTCCAGTATCTCAAATTTAAAATTATTATTTTTAATACCAGTAATTTTTAAAATTTTATTTTAGTCTTTTAGGTCAGTAATAACATATTTGAAAATGAAAAATTGAGACAGTTATATATTATTAATTGAATTTAATGTGCTATTTTCATTAATAGAGATATAGTAAGTAGATTTTATGCAATAGTATTTAAAAAATTTCTTAACAAAATTTGAATATAAGAACTAAAATGAAGTTTTTGAAATTATAAGACTAAAAAAAATTATTTTAAATTTAAGAGAATAAAAACACATTTTTCTTAAGTTTAATGAACTAAAAATATATTTAAACCTAAACTTTTTTATATACGTGTTTTCTCTCTCCTTTTCTTTTCTTTTTTTTTCTTTTATTTTGAAACAAAAAATGTCTTTTCTTAGTTCTTAAGTTATTTTATGCATAATAAGAAAAGTTAACAAATAAATAAAAAAGAAGAATAATTTTGTAAAAATAACCTCTTGATTAATTTTTTTATTAAAAATATCCAATACAAAATTATTTGTTACCCCACTGTTTTGTACTCTATTTTTGTCATCTTCTATCTTTGTATAAAAACAATATTTGTTAATGTCATAGTCACCAAATGTAATGACATCGTTGTTAGGCCCACGAGCGAGTCTCAAAAGTGTATCACAAGCATTAACCTCACCGTAAACCTTTTTCTTAAACCAAGTTAAGAAACTCTTGTTATGTTCATTCAATACCCATTTTTCATTCACTCAGAGGTGTGCTATCTTGATTTCATGTATGTGTTGCAATATGTAAGGAATTACTTCATCAGTGTTGTTAAATATGTACAAATGTGTTTGGTCAACTTCTGTTCGACTCACAATTCTAATCTTTAAACTTCGAGTACCCTTACCAAAATGTTTTCCATCATGTCGAGTCTTAGGAATTCCTATTGGTTCTGATTTCGACATGTACCCTGAACAAAACTCAATGGCTTCTTCTGTAATGTACTTCTCCACAATAGAGGCTTCTGGGCGATATTGATTCTTGACATATCCTTTTAAGATTTTCATGTATCTCTCAATAGGGTACATCCATCTAAGATAAACCGGGCCGCACAATCGAATCTCCCTAACCAAATGAACTATCAAATGCATCATGA